AGCTAATGGCTAGCCAATCAGGACACGGCATCCTAATGATGTACCGTGGATATGGCTGGCTATCTACTATCTGAGGAAAAGCCTCTAAAAGGCACAAAAACCTCCTACTAGCTGCAGCCAATGCTGCTACCTGAGGCTTCAGGGCAGTGGTGATGTTCATGACAGAACAGGGTGTTCTGACTTATTCGTCATGCGTGTGACTTCCAGCGTGCTGCTCCTCTACTACGCGCCAGACAACGAAACGGCGACGCATCCTACGGCTCTAATTATGAAAACGTATCAGATCATTGCTTTGTGAACGCAACCCTCTGCGTTCATTGGCCCTCTTAGACGACAAACTTGACAGTCCTTGGTACATGTTGTACCAAAGCCGTGACCCGCCGTCATTTATCGCAACAGTGTCAATTCCACCCAACGCATTTGACGACTTACTTTCCGTATTCAGTAGGCACTATACTGTTCAATCTGGCTTTGGACGGCATGACTGTCCAGCACGCGTACAGTTCAAGCACTGTGGGTTGGCAATGGTGTTGTATTTCTACACACAAGCGTCCGAAGCGAAGACGATGTGCGAATTGTTTGCAGTCGCACCCGCTACGTTCGCACGCGTATTGGTGAACGCCGAAAAAGCCTTGTCTTGTGCTTTAAAGACAATGCCGGACGCGTCGATTCGTTGGCCGACTTTCGCTCAGCAAACGTGTTGGGCCCAAGCAACTGAAGCCCGCGAACAACTTGTGACCGGTGTCTTTGCATTCGTCGATGGAAAAAATCTCCCAGTTCGGGAGCCGTCGTCATCGGATTTGCAAAATGCGCATTACAATGGTATCAATATATATATATATATATATTGAGAAAAAATTATTTAATATTGTTCCTATATGTATGCGTAGGATGGCTGCATTCCGTGTTTGTGACGGGTGCATAGTGCTAAGATGTTGATGGCACATTCATCTGGGGACGGCACAATTGTCCGGGGTTCTGGAATGATGGGGAGATGAGTCGCGGCCTTCAAGACCGACTAACAGACCCCAGGCTTTGTGCTCAAGGAATTAAAGTCGCATCTGATTCGGCGTTCCCAATCAGTGGGCGATGTGCTGGAAGAATCGTGACGCCGATTAAACAAGGAGATCCCGAAAGAGATCCACCGGATTGTCGGCTAGGACTGCAGGCTATGAGCGACTCGATTACATCACTACGACAGGCCGCCGAGTGGGGAATGGGAGCTGCGGTCAAAGTTACCGCCAACTAGATCTGAAATTGCCTTACGATCCAGCGTTGCAGGGTCGCCGTTTAATATAAACAACATATTTCGCTTGTACAACTATAGGGTGAGACGAATAGGAATAAGCCGGATTAAGAATGTCTTTCAAGTATAAATTGTTTTGAACTCATTAACAAAAATAATTCTTGACGCTTGGAATTTTCCCCAAGTAACTTCATATAAGAATATCTTTCAAGTTTATATTGTTTTGAACTCATCAGCAAAAATTATTCTTGACGCTTGGAGTTATCCCCAAATAACTTCATCATCATTGCCATTTGAAATTGTTCTTGACGGGCTCTGCTCGCGTTGTCCTCACGTCGTTGGGCATGATCGCGTTGATGGTTTTCACGACGAGGGCGCTCCTCGCACTTCTCTCGAATAATTTGACGTTGATGGTCTCGTTCCTCGCGTTCATCACACAGACTTTCACGTTCTACAACGCATTACTATGGTGTATTTCCCGCATATCATTGGTTTTTGCACGAAACCTTGTGCTTAGATTTATGGTTGCACTCGGCTGCTGTAAATGCTTAACGTACAAGGCATGCTTGTCTTCCAACATCATACGAGGCTTCATCTTGAATTGACAGTGAGCTTATTAAGCATCATGCATGCATTTGAATATTTGAAAGAACTTCGACATGCTATAATATTTGATTCTACAAATTATTGAAATTTGCCCGCTCCAAAGTTGGGGGGAGATCAGTATTCTAGTACAGCAAGTAGGCCTCAGAACCACCCAACACCTCATTTCTGCAAGGGGATAAGTTGCATTCCCAGAGAGTAACATGAGTAAAATCCTACATAAGCCTTGATTGAACGCACTGGAGTTTGGACATGCTATGCTAGGGGGAATGTGTGAAGGAGTATCGAAAGTTATCGAGTATCGACTTAGATATTTCTCCTCATGACATGTTAATAAGTCACAAGTTACTACTGCGTGTCGCGATGAAGTGGCTAGAATTCCGCATGCACTGAAGAATACTTGGGGGTCTAGCCCACAGCATGTATCCGCAAACTATCGCAAGTTGCTCCAATAACGCTCGAGCATGTACCCCGTGGGCGAGGCTAGCCCACGAACAACACAACCGGCGCCAAATCCGTCAACTAC